ACTGACCCAGAGTGACAGAGTGAGACTGTCTCTCACACACACACACACACACACACACACACACACAAGTCTAGTGGAATGGGTCGAATTTGTTTAGTTTGTGGAGATAGCAGGCTATAACCTTTCCTGGTGTTACCCTAGTAATAAAGATCTAACAAATCCAGGAAAACTCCTCTTGCTGGGGATTTGATAATTCAGAGAAACTTCATGTTAATTACATGGCCTGGGGTAAGTACACTTTAAAAATGTGCTTATGTGTTTTACTGCTGTATGCAGAGTGGTGCTACGGTAGGAAACTTTGGTGGGTGTGCATTTTAAAAGAATATCTGAAGCTAGGTTGGGGGAAAACAGTATCCATATATATCACAAGGGCTCGTGGTTTGTTTACAATGGAAGAGATGGCTCTTCAATCATAAATGTCATCGGTGTCCAGATTGAATAAAGCCATCCTTCACAGACATCTGAGTAACTGAAAATTGTACAAAACACAAGATGTTAAAATATCCTGTCATTATTTTTTTCCTCTTGTATTTTTCTTCTGGATATAAAATCAGGCTGTAAACACAGGATATTTGTAAGCATTTCCAGAAATGTGGAAGGCCTTTAAAGTAGAAGCTGCTTACATGTTTACATCCCCAGAAAGCTCACTCCTTCCTTCCTCACTGCAGGGTAGGTTTCTCCTGAGGTGGGGACACTGGGAATATCCCACCCTGCAGTTTGCCAGCCACCCGGGGGCTTCTCGGGACACCAGCAGCTTCCCTCACCCTCCCGGTGATGGCTGCCCTCGCCCTCCCTGTGCATGGCTGCCCGGACTCTCTTGTAAACATTTGCCTTTTGAAACTAATTATTTACTTTTCCATTTTAGTTTTGCTTCTCTTTTAATCCAAATGACAATTTTCAAGAAGAACATGCCTGGATAGAGATGTCTTAGTCCTCTGTCTCCTTTGCTCTGAGGCTGAGAACATCGGGAACAAGAACACAGAGAAACAAGAACTGAGGTGAGGACATCTGGCCCCTGCTAAAAACACTGAACACTGGGGCCCACAGGTGAGGGAGAGGGTCGTGGAAGGGACTCATAACCGTGCTGTCTGGTAAAGTCCTACTGTAAGAAGGTCTGAAATGCCATTTCTGATTGAGAGGATACCCTGGAAGCCATCTTCATCAGTCCCGTGAACTGAGGCATCTTCCATTCAAGTTTCCTGGTGTGTCTTTGTGAGTGAATGAAAGAATGAATGACCACAGGAGCCCACCTGCACTCCCTCGCATACGCTCACCTGGCTCCATTTGAAACCAAACATCTCTTGGGCATGTACTATGGGCCCAACTACGCTAGGTACTAAGGATGCAAAGTCTGGTTGGTGCCTTGCCTTGGGAGTGTATATAACCCCATAAATGGGCATAGTCAGTATTACATGGGAAACAGGGTAGCAAAGGTATGCCACAGTATCCCACCAGAGCAAGAGGAGGGGGAAGATGGTGCCCCCAGAGCCTCAGGGAAGGCCTCCTGGAGCCGCTGCTGCCTACAGGAAGGACAGAAGGAGAGGGATTAGCTGGGCGCAGAAGTGAGGGACAGGCATTCAGGGCACAGGAACAGAGCATACAGAACCTCAGTCTTGTGTGTGGAAGGAGAGAGGAGTAAAGGGTGTCCCAGAGGCTGAAGCGTAATGGGGCAGGACACAGCTGGAGGGAGCCTGAGACCTCCAAGGGTGGTGGCCTCCCGCCATCTGTGAGCCTCAGGGCAGCTGCCTCAGCTGTGAATTCCACATAAAACCTTCCACAGTAGTGGGAAAGATGGGAATGAAAAGAGGGGCACTGAAGAAAGAAGAAGAGAAAAGGGGAGGGACCAGGGAACAGAGGACAATAAGAGGTGACAGAGAGAGCAGAAGACCAGGGGAACTCAGGAGAGAGATGAAAAAGTGGGAGACACTGGGCCAAGGAGAGGCAGAGAAAGGCAGGGGCCTCATCGGGGAGTGGGGCTGTTACTGCAGTCCCTCTGGCTGTGACACACGTACACATATCATCACCTGCTACTCCAGCCCTGGCCACCGGACACATACATGTCCTGCTGTACTGGCAAGGAGTTGGGCTCCTTATCTTTCAAACTTCAAAGTTTAGTCTTGAAATGACATAGAGATTTTCACCTGGGGGGAGGACCCCAATTTTAGACATTAATTTGGACCTTGAGAGGTAGAGGGCGATTTGCAGTGGAATCAGCTGGAAAGTCTAGCTGCATTTTAAAATAAGGTTCAAAGGTACTTGATTTACTCTTTCCCGCTCTGTGAGAATGAGAGCAGTTAATGGAGTGCAGACTTGGATGCCACGTGTGTGCACATATGTGTGTATGTGTGTGCATGCATGCATATTCCCCACTAGACAGCAAGCTTCTTTTTTTTCTTTTTTGACAGGGTCTCACTCTGCTGTCCCAGGCTAGAGTGCCTTGGTGTCAGCCTAGCTCATAGAAACCTCAAACTCCTGGGCTCAAGTGACCTTCTTGCCTCCCGAGTAGCTGGAACTACAGGGGACTACAGGTGCCCAACACAACACCCAGGGGGTTTTTCTATTTTTGGTAGAGACAGAGTCTCACTCTTACTCAGGCTAGTCTGGAACTCCTGAACTCCAGCAATCCTCCTGTCTTGGCCCCCCAGACTGCTGGGATTACAGGCGGGAGCCACCCCACCTTCCTGACAGCAAGCTTCTTGAGAAGAGAGATTATGTCTAATGATCTGAACCCTAGCGCTTAGCTCGGTACCTGCCACAATAGCAAACCTCATTGAAGGTTTCCTGAATGAATGGAGGGCTTTTATGGGACAGAAGGCCATTAGGGACAAAGAAAGGCAATAAAAAAGAAAATCTTATTTGATTAAAAATGAATTACAACTTTCGCAAGTTATCCTTTCACTAGGTGAATGGGCTACAAAGAAAACTCCCTTTGTTCTTCAGCAGCCTTTATGAGGCCGACTTGATATTTAGCACTGGGTCAGTGCTAAGATAAATATTTATTTTTAATTAAAGCATCTACCCATGTTACACACGACATACACAAACTATCACATAGAATACAATCAAACTGAAAAACAATATTTCCTAATGCTTTCTTTGAATTTACAAGGTTGCGATTCAACAACATATTCTATTGGGAGGATCTGTACAACTTCCTGCTCTGACCTGCTGCATCTTGCCGAGGAAGCAGGTCCCTGGGCCGTGGTGAACTAGCTTAACACAGTTTAGGGACTCAAATAGTTGAAATGCACCCTAGCTGCACACTGTAAAGGAAATCTGTGCCAGGGAGTTTACAGTAGAACCTCTGTAAGTTGGCCACACAGGGACTGTAACTAACTGGTCAACATACAGAGGTGGTCAGCATAAGGAACTTGGCCTCCTGTATTGATACCTCCATGTGGTACGTGTCAGGTCTATGCAAATTGGGTCAACTTGTAGGGAGGTGATCAACTGTGGAGGCTCGATTGTATATCCAAAGGAGCACAACACAGGTGGGGTTTGGCATCCCTGGGAGGACTGAGGTTGTCTCCTTAACTGTCTGTTCTCCTAACAGGGGAGGCCCTGGCTGCTGGGAAGAACTCTGAGGAAAGGGGATGAAAGAAGCTGAATACTTAAAAATGAATGCAAAGAAAATTTCTTAAGTAACCACAGTCGAATCTCCATAGCTGACCACCTCCCTACACTGACCACCACCTCCTTAAGTTGACTTAATTTTCATAGACTGAACATACACCACTTGTTACATATCAGTACAGCAGGCCTCGTTCCTCATGTTGACCACCTTCATATGTGGACCAGTTTGTGGCAGTCCCTCAGGGGAGCAATTTACAGAGGTTCTACTGTAATTTCATGTAAGGGAATTTTAAAAAATATTCCAAAGTAAGATCCATTTTCCAGTGGGTAAGCTGTAGATATCAAGGTCTACACGGAGAACTTGAAGAAAAACAATCAATACAGGGCGGAGCCCAGGAGGCAGTGAGGAGGGGAGCAGTGAGGTGGCTCTTTCCTGACCCCAATGCCTGTCGGCCCCAAGCCCGCTGTGTCTTTCTGCCCTGGCAATAGTGGCGTTGATGTCAGACCGACTGCATGGGGGCCTTCGGCCTGTCTCAGCATCCTCCCCCCCTCTTGTGTTCCTGAGTTACTGCTCATTTGATGGTATCTTTCTGCCACCCCAACAAAACTGGGGCCCAAACTCACACCTCTGATTTATCATATCCTCGCAAATGCAATCCCCTACTCTACCTATCGATATCTTTTAATGAAGCAGAGATTTATAAGCTAGGGATAATTTAATTGTTGAGACAGGTTTTCTCTTCTGATGGTGCATGTTAAAATGGAGGGGAAAACGAAATGTAAAATAGCCCAGTCTGATAAAGCTGGAGCCTCTTACTTTTACACAGCCACCCCTATGTAGGGCTTGGGAGATGTGTCACTGATATCTCCAGGCATAACAGGGGGAAGTGGGGAGAAAGAGATTGCCTGCTGGCAGCATTAGAGTATCAATTTACTCACAATACATATTCCTGAGCCGTCCTGACATCGATTTGAGTGTCCGTTGCAATTGCAGGGAACGCATCTTCCCTTATACAAGCCATTGTTATGTCGATAGTATCCTGGGCTACAACCCTGTTTTGAAAACAAAGTGTTTAATGAATACAAAGAAAAAAAACCAATCATTATCCAAAGCATTGGCAGTTCTGACTGCGAAGCAGTCACTTTTTTTTTTTTTTTTTTTTTAGAGACTGGGTCTTGCTGTAATGCCCAGGCTGGCATGCAGTGGCTTTTCACAGGTGCAATCATAGCTCAGGACTGGGCTCAAATGTTCCTCCAGCCTCACCCTCCTGAGTAGCTGGGACTACAGCTGCACACCACTGAGCTCAGCTGACACATTCACTTTTTCATCTTTTCTCCAGCCAGTGTGTAGATTCCTAATTTTAGCCTCTGTCAAGTCGACCTGCATCTCTGTCAGATTCTGTTTGATTCCCACACCGTGGTAGGAGTGTGAGACTTACAGCAAGGAAATCAAACAGAAGTGGGGAGGTAGAGAGTCCTTCTCACACCACTTATTTTGAGGGCAAGTGGAGATGGGGTGGGAGATGGATAAATAAAGATAGTCAGGACTCCTGTCTTTAAAGGGGAGGACATTTAAGCAGGTCACTTCAAGTTCAAGTTCTCTTCCAGCAGCCATGCCCTCTCCCAGTGTGGGTTTGGGCTGGTAGGGAGCAGTATAGGAGCAGGAATTGGGGTGGGGGTATAAGGCGTCTTTACTGGGCTCTACACAATCAGGGCATTGTCAATGCAATCACTCCACTGCCACTCATTAGTCCATGGGCAACAGGGAACCCGGGGGAGGGAGCGTGCTGAGTTCCCACACAGGACTGTGCACCCATGTCTGGTCTATACCGAGCACTGTGCACATGGACACTCTCCCCAAGGGAGCCCTGGGGTGTGGTCTTGTTTCCGTGTTCAGTGTTGCTCTGATTATTACCATCTCCAGTATTATTGTCTCTTTCCAGCATAATACAAGTTATTCTTTTTCATCTGGAGGGAAAAAAATTACACTTTTCTTTTCATAAACTAACATCTTTTTAAAAGAATTCTTTTTAAAAAAGGATTCTACTTAAGCATGCCTCCAAGAGAGGACAAAAAAGCAATTATTCTTATACCAGCCATTAAACATTATTTAGAGTCTATCTTTAAATAGAATTATAGATATATTCTCTCTTTTTTTTTTTTTTTTTGGCAGAACGAATCAGGGCACCCATTAAAATCAAATATTGTTGCTAGTTTCTTTCACTGATCTCCTACATGCCCCATTTTGAAAACATTAGGAAAAATTAATATTTCAAGATAAAAACAGTCTTTAATCCTCTTTAAACAGTATGTATGTCTGTAAGACTCTGAAACTACAGTCAAAGGAAATCTTGAAATGAACAGTCCACTCTCATTCATCCATGGTCATAGACTTCTTTCTCCCTGGTCAAGCAGAAGGGACAGGAGGCGGAGACAGAACCCTCACACACTCCAGTGGGTGGACCCTCCTGGGTGTTGCCAGGATCTCCTTTGGGAATTACCAATGAACACAGATCATACACACAACAAGACCAATATATGGTTTCTTCAAGCTATTAGGGACCATATTTAGGCAAAGGAGCACATTGCAAAAAAAAAGATTATTTTAGGTGTTATGTGACTAGGCTTGTCTAAAGGAGAACGAAGTATGAAAGGAATGTTCTTTTGCTTAAAGCACAACTGAAAGATGCATCTAAAAGCAGCCAATGATGGTGAAATCAGATCTACAATCTCTACTAATAAGTGGCAAGGACCTTATAATTACCACCAGGTGTCACATTACCTGCTTACAAAACAATCGTGTTGGGTAAAGAACAAATTGTTCCAATAAACAAATAATCTCATTAGTTGATTGTTCAAATAATCTGGTGAGTTTATGGTAACCTGCCTAAATAAAAGCTTCATTAAACATGCTTGAGGGGGGGAGGATCGTCCGTCCTGATTAAACTAAATCATCCATCTTAATTTGCTTTTGATTAGAAGCAGAAAAAGACAGTCTGCAAGAGTTACGTGTCATGTCAACACTCACAGCATTTGTCCATAAGCATTTGCTCTCTTAGCAAGCAAAACCACATCTTACAAAAAATTCAGTTCACGTATTCAGATTATATTGAAGATTTGCTCTTTAAATGAAAATCCATATGTCCCAATATATTGTTTCCATAAAGAAGTTTTGTAACTAGTTACGGTTTTTAAAGTGACGATTTTTCAGGTTAAGCTTTCCAGGCAACTTTGGTAGTACGAATGATAAAAATTACGTCCCTATTCAGTGTCTAGGGTTATTTCAGCAACCATAAGATTTATTTCCCTGTAAATATACACATAGCATCCAGGAAGTTTAAAGAAAGTGAGCAGAATTTATGAATGTTTCATGCCTGGCAAATTGAAGCATGTCTGTTAAGTATTGTGCAAACTTTGATCACTTTTCTCAAGCATGGATTCCACTGTTTCTCATGTTTTACTTTGTGGATAAATTTTCTTCCAAGCAGCATTTGGAAACATATAGGCATTGGATTCTTTTGTCCCAAACCTTAGGTTCCTCTCTGAAGGGCGCAAAGTTTTATAGTTACATTAACACCCCACAAGCATTCAAGCTCTCAACTGCCTGGGCATTTCCAGGTGGGCTGATATTTATGAGGTTTGTGGTTAATAGCTCAGGAGAGCAATCTGTCAAGTACCATAATAAACCCTGCCAGTCAACTCTACAGGGAGGCCATTGGCCCCTCCCCCAGCCCACCGGTTTATTCATCTGCAGCCTTAACTCAAAATGTCACAAAGCTGGAAATCCATCCCTGTCCCAACCCCATATTTAAAAGGAACATTACCTGGCTGGGTCTAAACTCCACAAAACTTGTTTGCAGTTGACTTTGACCCGGAGGCTGAAGGAATGGTAGCCTTTGCTGCTGTGAACTGTACCCCAGACACTGCCCCAGGGCTGCCCCAAAGATCCACAGCCAGCCGGTGCTGCGGGCTGACAGGCTGACTGCCAGGGGCATCCTGGTTCCAGGGCGTCCCTCCGGCTGTGCAGAGTCCTCCGCCTCTCCTCTTATAACTGCCCTTCCTGCTCAGTGCCCAGGCCTGCCTGACTCAGGTAAGGAAGGCTGTCTGGCCGAGCTCCACCTTTAAACTTCACACATGAGTCAGCCTGCGCTGGAGCACACAGTACAGTCCTGCAGGTAAGCGCACCGCTCTGTAATTCCTACCAGGTGGGGCGGCATCACCTTCTACCCACCTTACCCGCAGACCGCACTAGACGATCAGAGCAGGCATAAATCACAGGCTGAGTCACCCTCGGAGAACACGCCCTGGGCGGGAGGCTGGTAATCCAGGGGCCCACTCCTCCCCTGGGGTGATCTATTTTAATCAGGCTGGAGAAGAGATAGAGGGAAGGGGGGAGAATGTAGGCAACCTGTGGGCGAAGGGTTACAACTCAAAGGTCCCCCCAAAACTGGGGCAGGTAAGATATTTTGGGTAACTGAAACAAATAGAAACTCGTGTGTGCAGATCACCTTGGAGTTTCCTGCTAGTAAGGGGCCAGTGAAGAAAGTGAAGGGTTTGGCTAAATCCACATGCTCTGGGCCTGGGCAACATGAAGAAGGACCATGTTCGCTGCTTCCTACTAATTACACTCACACTGCGCTTTCCCTCGATCTCTTTAGGAAAAGAACATATTTATAACTTGAGATACTAAAGAGTTTCATTTTATGGCACATTTTAATCACCTGAGGACAACCCAGGTTGAACAGATCTCAAACACTATGGTCCCGCTGCGAGTTAGAAAACAGGAATCCGGGACATTCAGTTCTCTAGAATTCAACTCTATTGGTGGGTGGGGGGTGGCTGGAGGCAGACCCTGCCTTAGAGAAAAGCATGAACACCCTGGGTCAGCCACTAGGAAGGCAGGGACTCAAATCCCGGGTGCCAACTGGCAGGCTCCTTCTGACTTCTACTTCTCATTTCTCTGGTCCCACCCTCTGGGAGCTCCTTTGGCTCTACTATGAATCTTGAGCCACTGGTGACGTCTTTTTCACATGTAGTTCTTGCAGGGAGACTATGTAAAATATAGGCTGCAGCCCAGCAGAAATGTGAACAGAGAGGGCCTCAACCTGCAGCCCCAGTCCTCCCCTCTGACAGGTACTGGTCCTTAGGAACCAGGCTGCACAGCAGAGGTGAGCAGCAGGTGGGGAATGAAGATTTATTTGTTTTTACAGCCACGCCTCATCACTCACAATACCTCCTGACCTCTGCTTCCTGTCCCATTCCCCACCCCACCCCCACCTGTGGAAAAATTGTCTTCCATAAAACTAGTCCCTGGTTCCAGAAAGTTTGGGGACTATTAGACTAAACCATCCCACAGCGCTGAACAGCAGCAAGCACAGCTGGCCATGCAGTTCCCTGGGGGAATGTCATGAATGGCAAAACTTCCTACCTGACATGAGTCGCCAGTGTAGTGAGGGGGGCAGACACACATCTCCACATCATGGGCTGTGCGACCACCTCCTGTGTCAGAGGCCTCCTCCAGCCCCACCTCGCCCAGGGTGAGCCGCTGCGTCTCGGTGAAGTGGAGGCCTCTGATGCGTACACCTGCCAGTCTAGACAGCAGCGTCATCAGCTCTTCCCTAGACACCGGGGCTCGGCTGCTGGCGTGTCTGAAGTTTCTCTACACGTGGAAACAGAAAGGCAGGGTCTTCCTTAGACAGGGATTCCACAGAGGCAGACACCCAGAGTGGGTCAAAGACAAGACGTACCAAATGCATAAGGAAAAATAAAGATGGGAAGTCCCTCCTGGAGCACTGACATTCAGAAATCATCGTGGAATAGTCTCACGAAGGGAGGAAAAAATGAAGGTGGGCAATCAGGGGCAGTAAAATGAAATAAACTTTCCCAAGATTCTATCTATTTTAAAATGCACATTTGTGCAAATGTAAGATGAATGAGAAAGCTATCATAAAGGAAGGCCCATGGAGACCAACTGGGTCACGCAGGTTAGGTCCTCATTAATGCAAATAACTGTGGTGGAAGGTATGATCTTTTCTTGCACACACATTCATATTATTTTATTTTATTATTGTAGCAAAAAACACATAACATGAAATTTACCATCCCAACCATTTTTAACAGTCCAGTGTTATTACCTATAAGCACAATGTTACCCAACGGATCTCTGGAATTTATGCATCTTGAAAAAGGGAAACTATTTATCTATCTACCAAACAACTCCCTGCTTCCTCCTTTCTCCCATCCCCTGGCACAACCATTCTAATTTCTAAGAGTTTGACTACGTTAGCTAAGTCATGTATGTGGAATCATGAACTATTTGTCTTTTTGTGACTGGCTTGTTTAACTTAGCACAAGGCTCATCCATGTTATCACATAGTGTAGAACTTCCTTTTTGTGTAAAGCTGAATAATGTCCCATTGGGTATATGTTTTAATCTATTCATCTGTTGATGGACATGTAGGTTGCATCTTGGCTAGTATGAAAAAGGCCATGACATGAGTGTGCAAATATCTCTTCAAGATCTTGTTTTCAATTCTTTAATTATACACCCACAAATGGGATTGCTGGATCATGTGGTAATTCTAGTTGTAATATTTTGAGGACCCTCCATCCTGTCTTCCAGAGCAGGTGCACCATTTTGTATTCCCACCAACAGTGTACAAGGGTCCCCATTTCTCTGTATCCTCACCAACACCTGGTATTTTCTGTGTGTGTTTTTATAGTAAACATCCCAATAGGTGTGAGGCAGTATCTCACTGTGGTTTTAATTTGCATTCTAATGATTAAGTAATGTTGAGAATCTTTTCATATAAAAACCTGTATTTTTAACCTTTATGGTCTTCTGCTTCCTGAAAACTCAGTTTTCACATCTCTGAATAGGCATAATAATACCTAATCTCTCAGGGGTATCATGAAGACAAAGTGAATCAAGCTATATAATGTATATAAAGCATTCTGTACAGTGCCCGGCATTAATGGCATTTATTATATATAAATATAATACTTCTGTAATTTTTTTTTTTCAGACAATGTCTCACTCTGTTGCCCAGGCTAGAGGGCAGTGAAGTCATCATTACTAACTGCAATCTCAAATTCCTGGGCTGCAGCCACCCTTCTGTCTCAGCCTTCCCAGGAGCTAGGACTACAGGAGTGTGCCACTACTCTGTCTAATTTTTTCTATTTATTTTTTTTGAGACAGAGTCTCACTATGTCACCCTCAGTAGAGTGCCATAGCGTCACAGCTCACAGCAACCTCAAACTCTTGGGCTTAGGCAATTCTCTTGCCTCAGCCTCTGGAGTAGCTGGGACTACAGGCACCAGCCACAATGCCCAGCTATTTTTTGTTACAGTTGTCATTGTCATTTAGCTGGCCTGGCCCAGGCTCGAACCTGCCACCTTCAGCATATGTGGCCAGTGCCGTACTCACTGCACTACGGGCATGGAGCCTAATTTTTTTCTATTTTTTGTAGAGATGCAGTCTAGCTCTTGCTTATAACTGAACTCCTGACCTCAAGAATTCCTCCTTCTTCAGCTTCCCAAAGTGCTAGAATTACAGGTGTGAGCCACCATGCCTGGCCAAAACTTTTATCATTTTAATTTATATTTTTAACAAGTTGAGGTATTTATTATATACAATAATATTCCCTCATTGTGAGTATAAAATTTTTAGTAAACTTACAGAAGCATACAGTAATATAATTTTAGAACACTTGCATTACTCCAAAAAAGAACTACCAGTGTGTAATTACTAACCCATTCCCACCCCCAGGCCCAGACAACCACTAATCTACATTCTGCCTCTGTGGATTTTCCCATATTGGACAATTATATAAATACCAACTTAATTTCAATAGTACAGGATGTCCTAAAAGTTGCCCATAAAAATCACTATGCCTGGGGAAAATGGGAAATTGTAACTAAATGTACTTTTATTTACCAAATATTCATTAAAAAAATTTATAAAATATTTACAAAATACTCTTGTGTGTTGGCCACCTCAGTCCATAGCATTCTTTGTAGTAAATTCTTCATTTCAGTGATTGTACTTCTCTCCCCCAGAGTTTCTATTTGGTTCTTTTTTATAATTTCTATTTCTTTCTTGATATTATTTATATTCAATGTGAGACATTGTTCTCACGTGTTTTTTAATTCTTTAGATATGATCTTCTTCAATTCTTTGAACACATTTAAAATGTTGAATTAAAGTCTTTATGTCTAATATCTGAT